CATACACAAAAAAAAAAAAAAAAAAAAAAAAAAAACACACAAAGCAAAAACCCTAAACCCCCATGAAATTGGAAATTAGTTTTGCATGTGGGTTTTCCACAGTGAATCTTTTTAAGGGCTTTGTTCCAAAATTCACTCAAATATAACTTTTCAAGGAAAAGTAATAAAAAATACTTTTACTACTCACCATTGCAGCAAACATTTTGATGAAGTGAAATAGTCTCTAGTATAGATTTAATCTCTGTTTGCAGTCTGGCAGGCTTTTCTGTGATTACTTTCAGCATACTGTGGTTGTATTTGTACAGTTATTATAATATATACTCTTCTACAATTCATCTGCTTTTTTCTTTCTTTACAGACACTATTTCCCTTGCCAGAGCAGAAGATGATTACAATGCACCAGACTGCAGGTTCATTAATATTAAAAAAGGGCAGTTGATTTATGTTTATTCAAAGCTAGTGAAAGAAAAAGGAGCTGGAGAATTCTGGGCTGGCAGTGTAAGAGTCTTCTGTATAAAAGTATTAATCTACCTCTGGGTAGCTTGTAGAGTGTGTGTGTGTGTGTGTGTGTGTGTGTGGTTTTTGTTTTTGCATTTTGTTTTGCTTAGTTTTATTAAGTGAATTTTAATATTGAAAATAATTCAAGTCATTACATCTGAGATCTTTTTTAAAATGCTTGCATAAAATGCAGGAATCCAAGTTCTGCAGTGTTCAGAATGTTTCTGGTGAGGAGAAAGCATATAAAAATTAAATAAATACTTGAGGGAAAATGTCTTCACTTTTCGTGTGACCAGACTTTGGAATAGACTGTGAATCTGTGATAGAATGGATATGGTGAAGCATTTACATCAAGTTCTATTCTTTTTGCTGCCAGCTGTTGGCATACACAGATGAGAATTTAGTTATCTAAATCAGAATAGATGCCTTGATCACCGTGGGTCATTGTCTTAATGCTAACTTTACATTTTAAGAAGAATAAAACAGCATTTCACCTTTTTGTAAGGAAGATTTGAGAAATAATGTATTTCAAGTACAATCTATTGGAGCCATATGCATACGTGTTCTGGCTTGTATTTGCTTTTATCACATCATGTGCCAGCTCATCAGAGTTCAAATCCAAAAACCCAAAGTAAGAAAGAGTGTCTATAGTTCTTTTTGATAAATGCATAAATGAGTTCAAACTCGATGTGCTGCTTTAATGCATCTAATTATGCCTTGCCTTGCTCTAAAGGTTTACGGTGAGCAGTATGAAGACCAGATGGGGACTGTTGGTTACTTCCCTAGCAGTTTAGTCTCGGAGCAGCATGTCTATCAAAAAGCAAATAAAACCATTCTCACAACGGTAAGGGGTCTGTGAAAGGCCAGCTGGTTCTATAAATACACTCAGGTATGTGATGCAACTTCATTATAACAGCAAATCATGGCTGTGGCAGTACAACAAAGGCCTGTTGGCTGTAACAGTAATGTTACACAGATGTTTGGGTATCTGATCCTGCTGTGTCCTTAGGTGAGTAGTTCCATTGAAATCATAACTTCAACTCTGATCGTACAAGCATTTAAGCACTGTTAAATGCTCCAGATGGGGCTTGTCAATGGAAGGACTCCTGTTGACTTGAATGGCTGTAGGTTCGCACAACGAACTTCATACAAAGCATTGCCAGTGTATAGCAGGATCTTTATTGTTCTTGCAAACCAAAGGAAACTTGCTTGCAGCATAGCAGGAGGTTCTGACCATTCTGCCTTAACAAGGTATACAGAGGCCATCTGTCTTATACAGTATTTCTGCTTTGTTGTAGAGTATTTCTCCTGATAAGTAGAGTGAGGAGTATAGAGATCAGAATGACTTTTGTCACTTCCTTCAATAGGAGCATGAATAAGCCCCTAACAACTACTCGTGAAATGTCGCCTTTTTTACAATTCAAGCATTTCCAACTTTTTACCATCAAAGGGGATTTTTTCCTTATTTGTTTTAAACTAAGGGCTTTTCTGTTTAGTCAAACCGAAAAAGGAAAGTCCCGGTTAATTTTAAAGACTTCATATAATCTGCTTCCTCAGTAGTGTTTACTTGCTTATACAAGGAAGTTATTGGCACATCTTTTAAATGGAAGATTAAAAAGTGATTGGAAACATATTCAGGTGTTTGTTTTGAAACAGCCAAACTTTTTTTAAACATTTCTTTCTGTTTTGTTAAAATCCGAGAACTGTAGCATTTCATGATTTCTAGTTCATTATTTTTAGCTCTATTAAATACCTGAAATCTGCTTATACAAAGGGG